AGGATGAACATTTCCACGTATAAAATAAATAAAATATCCAAAAACTTTTACCTCTAAATTATCTATTATATTATAAACGTCACCAACGAATTCATACCGCAAACATTAAAAATGGTTACAAATACTTAGTGTCAAATATTTAAATTATTTCCATGCACGTTTACTTCAACTGAAACGTATACCAAATTCCTACAAACATAAAATTCACAAAATAACTATCATTTAATTAAAATATCACTAAACCATGTACACGTCGACTTATTTTTACTTAAAAAAACATCCCAGAATTGCACAAAAATGGCATTGCGCACACTCTTCACTATATCCATGTACACTGCTTTTTTCTCATAAATTAGAAAAATTTCACGAAAATGCATGAAAATACTCAACGTATTCTACTCAAACGTATTCCAAAATACTACAAACATATAACTCACAAAATCACGATCATTAAATTAAAAAACACTACTTAAAATATAAATAAGCACATACATTAAATTAATAAAAATTAGATTACAATCCTAATTACTTTAAACTAAATCATTGCTAATAACAATTTTCCAATAATACCATATTAATTTATTTACTCCTTACATTTAGAACAATGCATAAAAATAATATCCTCAAATGATTAAAAATACTAACTTACCTAATCTTCTTCAGAATCTTCATTACGTGGCACGCACACTTCCCTACAGAAAGAGTTCCAATCGGCTGCAGTACTACTGCTAATTTCTAAATCCGAAATCCAGTAGTCAACTGGCAGTCTATTCACCCAGTAATAAGAAATTAATAAAATTTCACCCATATTCAAACTACTTTCAGCAAACCACGTACCCTTCCTTACACTCCGTTTCACAAAATGTCCATTTTCACCAGATTTCTTGCACTGCCATTCAAACTTATCTGTAATATCCTTCCTTTCACACAATCTCAAGTTATTATTATCAGATAAACGCATTAAAAATTTAGAATTCACTTTACATAGCGCCATGCAATCCGAAAATTAATCAACACTATTTCACACAACACACAATGAAGCTTAATACAGTCAAAAGTCGTTAATTCGGACACCCATAATCCGGAATGATCTATAATCCGGACCTCAAAGCTACAACCTTTCTGCGCATGCGTCGCGTTGACGTAAGACCTTTACCCGCTGCGAATTTGTGTGTGCGCAAAATACGTTTATGAATGCGCGTTTAATGTATAACGGACGGGATAAGCTAAGCTAAAACTATCTAATTATCTATTTCAGTTAATGTTGCAGATTGCGTTGTTCCTTAATCTTCGAATTGGATCCGGATTATTATTTTTTGCAGACTGTTAGAGCAATTTTATAAAAGTAAGCTTGAACTTTCGATTATGTCAAATAGAATTTTCGATATATATTTACTAATAAAGCGAAAGTATCTTTCGGAGCCCATTACACAAAAAGTGGAATTGCTGCAAAAAATGGATAAAGGCATATATTTTGTTTATCTAAACTTTAACGCTTGTTTATCTAAACTTTAACGTTTGTTTATCTAAACTTTGTTTATCTTTAACGCGGCGGCGGCGTGCAATGAATTCACTATCCTTATCTTAAGGGCAGATGTTTTTATTTTATTTGGCTTATAATTGCTTACTCAATGTAGTATTTCATCTCGATGTACTCCATCTTTGATATGATTTAAATCAAATGCCTCGTCATTATAATTCGCTTCCGATAGCGAAGAAAGTGACAGAGGTTATTGAAAACGAAAAAATTTCGATTGACAGATTAGTCGGTATTCTCGACACAGCAATTATAGGACGTGAACAGCGGAACTTTGTAACAGAACAAGAAATTATGTCTGTTTATAGAATTAAAGAGAATGTATTATCACATAAAAAACGAATCAACTTAAACTGAAAGAAATGTTTAATAAAGTAAACAAATATTAAGCTTTTTTTTGTAAATTTTGATACCCTTTAGATCATAATTGTTCTTTATTTCGTAAATTACGGTTTTATATTTTTAATTTTATAATTTCTGCATGCCATTTTACCAGATTTAAACTGATGATCTATAATCCGGAAAAATCAATAATCCGGAATCGCCGAAGTCCCGACGAGTCCGGATTAACGACTTTTGACTGTACAAAATAATATACGAGGGCTATCCAGAAAGTAGATTACGTTTTGGAATAAAAAAATAAACAAAGTATAGGAAACAAATTTTATTATATACAGATGAAAGCCACACTCAAATACTACTTTTCTACATAGTCACCATACAAATTAAGGCATTTATCGTAGCGATGTACGAGCTTGGAAATTCCTTCGTCGAAAAATTCGGCCGCCTGCGCCTTCAACCACTTCGTTACCTCTTCTTGCAGCTGTGCGTCGTCATCAAAACGCTGCATAGCCAGCCACTTCTTCATTGCTGGGAATAGGTGGAAGTCGCTCGGTGCCAGGTCGGGACTGTACGGCGGATGAGGAAACAACTCCCACTTAAAAGATTCAAGAACTTTATGAGTGACATTTGCCGTGTGGGGCCGGGCGTTGTCGTGAATCAACAAGATCTTAGAGCTCAACATTCCTCTGCGCTTGTTTTGAATTGCTCTTCTGAGTTTTTGGGAGAGTTTGGCAATACCTTTGAGAGTTTATTGTAGTGCCTCTTTCCAGGAAGTCCACCAAAATTACACCTTTTCTGTCCCAAAAAACAGTCGCCATCATCTTCCTTGCCGACATTGTTTGCATGCATTTCTTGGGTTTTTGGGGAGAACTTGTGTGCCCCCACTGCATTGATTGCAATTTCATTTCACAGTTCACATGTTTCACCCATGTTTCGTCACCAGTAACGATGCGATCGAGTAAAGAGTCACCATCCTTATGGTAAGCGTCCAAAAAGTTCAACGCTGCAGCCATTCGCTGATTTTTGTGGTCCTCTGTCAAGATTTTTGGAATCCATCTTGCACAAAAACTTGTGGTAACCAAGCTTTTCGCTGATGATTTCGTGCAACAAACTTCGCGAAATTTGTGGAAAACTCAAAGAAAGTTCCGTTATTGTGAAATTTCGATTTTCACGGACTTTAGCATCGACTTTTTCGAGAAGTTCGGCGGTCACTATGCTGGGTCTCCCACTTTGATCTTCGTCGTGAACATTGGTTTGGCCATTTTGAAATCTTATGACCCACTGACGCACTCCACCTTCAGTGATAATGTTGTCCCCATACACTTCACGAAGCTGCCGATAGATTTCTATCGGTTTACAGTTTTTTGCAGTCAGAAACCTTATTACTGAGCGCCCTCGCAGCTCGCGGGATTTTCAATTAACGCAGACATTTCAAACCGTCACAGTATCTGAACGGAGCACAGCACGAACCTCTCACTAGCACGGCTAGATGCAGACTGAGCTGTGCAACGCTCTGACCCCAAGATGGCCGCGCTAGCCCCGCCCCTAGCGGACACAGACGGAAACGTAATCTACTTCCTGGATGGCCCTCGTATTACTACAGATATTTTTCCAAATTTTACCCCCTTTTCCGATTAAAGAACTGTAATTCATCCATTAATGTCACATGACACATCTCATGATCTTTCATTTCCCTCACACAAAATAATGCGTAATCGGAACTGAGTACTTCTCACATTATTACCAAAGTCCTAGGTAGTAACCTTTATCGCCTCCAAAATGTCGCCAAACTACCTGTTACCATATTCCAAAGATCAGCCGTGAAATATACTTGTTGCTGCTTATTTATCATTAAAAATGTAAAATCTAATTCAATGTCTCAAATGTATTTGCATTAATCAGTTCTGCATTCAACCAATTTTGACATCTGTACCTCACACCTAAAAATTTAGCAAAAAGTTTCTATGTACATATATGTTGTTCAGAAGAGAAATAATTGTTCATTATAATTATTTTCTGCCCTTCTGAATAAAAAAAAAATCAATTCCCAACAAAAGTAAACAGCCAGGAAAACATTCTCAGTTTAAAGAGTTTGCAATTAATGATGAGCTTGTCTGTAAACATGATTTACTAATCATATAATAAACAGTAGATATAATTTTATTCAAGATCCTATCGAATCTCATAATTATTTAGAACATTTTTCAGATATGAAATTAAAATGATAAACTGAGTAAAATATTATTCAAAAATAATTTTATGCATTGGTAAACATCTAAAATTTCTGTCAAATAGTTTGATAATGTAAAAACTAATTTTGATGATGCAAAGTTACCATTAGTTTGTCAAACCAGTACTTTTCCATATTGCATCTGCCACACATGTTGGCAGTATTATTGTAATATTCAGTTTGTGTGTGTATTTGATTATTCTTGTTTACATGCATGTATACGTTATCCCCAGACTGACGTTATGGCTGGGTTTTAACATCTAATTTGACTGCTCTTTCATACTGCCAAAAACCACGGCAGGTGCAAAATGTAAAAGTATCATGAAACCTAATTTTGACAATGCAGAGTTACATAGTTATGGTTAGTTTGTCAAACTTAATTTTGATAATGCAGCTATAGCTAGTTTATCAAATACAACTAGTTTGTCAATTTGAAATCTATTTGATATATAGCCTTTTTCAAAATCAGCAATATACAATATTATTAAAAAATGCTTCACTGTTTATTCTAAAAACTATGCTCGTGAGTTGCTATTGTTAAAAAAACTATGGTTGGATCCTAGCAAAGCCCACACTCTTGGCGCGGCCACTTATATGGTGCGTATCAATGTGTACATGGACAAAGTCAAGGGAGTGTGCAATGCCAAGATTGTGCAATTCTGAGATTTTTTTAAAGTGAAAATTGGTCGATGTGTACATGGATACCGAGTTTGTGCAATTTTTTTACTTATTTTCAAGTTAGCGATTTTGGGAAAAGCGAGAAGCAGTGGGTGATTCTGCACTTTCACAGTTGGTCGCCAAGGGTGTGGGCTCTCCTAAGATTTAACCAAAACTATTTATATAAATATTCAAGAAGACAGGAAGGAATACATTAAAAAAGGAAAAACTTACTAAGTGAAAGAGTTAACTTCAACAGCATGCAACAAACTAACAGCTTGGATGATGAATTAAATCCATCAGAAAGAGTGGGCAACAGACAATCATGCCAAAGATCCTGGATGGTATAATCCATAATACTCGGATAAATACCTCCATAATCTTCATATATTCCATCATACTCAGCATCGGAATAATAGTCCAATTCATAGTCATAATCGCCATCCATTCTTCATTTCTAAAGAAAAAAAAAACGATAAAAACACACGTCAGAATATACACTACGAAGTGCAGAATTTGTATGGAAAAAAACATAACGCTCAGAAGATTTTCCAATAATACGATTAATAAAAAAAGTACACAATTACATCGATGCTTAGTAAAAAATATCAGCACAGAAAGTTCTCATCGGTAAATGTTTACATGTTTCGAATTTATGATTACTCTAAACATGAGATTAGAGTCAACTCATTTCTAAGCCATTAAAGACTGCAGAATACATGTGAACACTACACACGGAATTTAGAAACATCTAAGAATCATTTAATTTATATGAACATTTTTTATATAAACTAACTTGCGGCTTATAACTGTTAATATTTTGAAGCTGAAAAAGTTAAATATCCCGCAAAAATAAACACGGTTACAGTGAAATTTCGTAAATTTGGAAAGCATAGTAAATTCAAATCTGGTTTTCTAAAATCAAACAGTGCTCCTGAATAAACATTTTAATTCCTAATGTTGTATGAATTGGATATTTTTAAGTATTTAATTTGAGCAATGAATGTCTCAGATACTTAAAATATTATTTTACTGTGCTTAACTGCAGTAGTTATGAATTAACTGATGCAAAATAACTACTTGCTAGTAACAAATTATGATAAAAGTCATCTTATTTTCAATTTTACTCGGCTTTCTTTCTATTCAATAATGACGGTTAAATGAATCATCAGAAAGTCAAACAACTTGAACATAAATATAGGGGCGAATTCAAGTGCAACGCTCTGATAAATTGCAAATGTTAGCTCGCAAGAGGCGTTCCTGCTATCGGCTGCTAAAGTCGAATTCAAGTGCAACGCTTTACCGCTCTGGTAACTGATGACGTCAAAATTGCAATGGGGAGCTGGTTTGCTCTCGTGCCAGGAGAGCTTGTCCGATAAACTACATCAATATCCAATGAGACTGCGTGTCGATGTAAACAAAAAACATCAGTTCCTATAATTCCTCTGAGCTTATGGTCAAGTGTTTACTGCGTTGTAGTGTGGTGTAACGAAGTGTTCCAGACTTGAAAACGAAGGAAATATACAGACATGCAATGTAATGTGTACAACTTTATTTACTTTATCTTATAGATTCCCTCCAAAGTAATCTAGAGCAACAGGTGTGTGTAAAATATATTTTACTTTTCAGACAAAAATACTTGCTTTTTCAAATATAAACCACATTTTTTTCCCATTTTCAAATTACAGCATTTGGTTTTAATTCTTCTAATAGTAAGTTTAATTTAAAATTCAAATTTGTGTTATATTTTTATTGTTTAATGCAGATGCATGATTCTTCAGTGACAGTAGGCATGTTTACCATATGAAAATTAACTAGTTCTTGAATTATATAGTAATTAATAAGCCCATCTATCTACAAGCAGATAAGCCTGCTGAACACCGCTATCCCAGTCTCTTCTTAATCCAGGGAAAAAGCTGGCTGCATGAGTGTTTTCTTCATTTTTTCAATGTATTATGCTTTGTGTTCTGCTCATTATATTGTGCATTTACAGTGCACTTTCTGCTTCTTAAGTGAAAGTTTGGACCCATTCTCATTTGATATCAGTTATATTCAGATTTATTTATTTCATAAAATTTCAAAAAACAATTTTTGGCTATTAAAAGCTACAAGTGCAGAAACAAAAGCTTAATTTCTTTACTGTAACTGTGTCATGCTTCTCTGCTGATAATGAAAGTCGTCTTTTAATAAGATTTCTTTCATTGCATATATTAATTATATCTTTTACCATACTGGTTGCCATCTTTGATTGTGCATTCTTCAATATTTTTTGGTACTTACGTATTAACACAAACACCTGGATCAGTTTGGTGGTCTTTATAAATGAAAAGAGAAAAAAAAAATACTTATCAGGAGAAGTACGTTGTTTTTGCAGCTTGCTTTTAGCATAACCAAACTATCAATATTTATCTAAGTTGGCAAAATGTTATCAACATATCAAAGGAAAAAACATTTAACAAATTTTAAAATACTAATTTGAATTATTAAATAAAAATTATATGATAGTTTAAAAAAAAATTATTCCACAAATTTTTTGTCTAATTTTTTAGCACTTGTGCCAAGTGATCTGTTTTCACTTAAAAAAAAAAAAATCAGAGAATTACATAAAACATGACTTGATACTGCATGCCTTGTCTATGTACCAAATTCATCTCATAGTTGTTTCCATTAGAAATTTTTGTACTAAAATATTCTATTCCTGCAGAACTTTTAACACAGCTTCGTTCTTTTGATGGTAAGCTCCACAAGCAGTATTTTAAAATCTGAAATTAATCTAAAACAACTATTCGTATCTAAAATCCATTGGAACTTGAAATACAACATAAGAAACACATATGAAAATGGTGACATTGCTTGAATGAAAAATTGTCATGAGCATGTTACCTGAAAAATTTTGATACATAATCGTTGCCAGAGTTTGGCACATTTTTGAAAATTTGGTAACTTTTTATTAAGGTGGTTTCAATAATATGCAAATATCTTTTATTCTTATGATTGCTTCATTGTATACTTTTTTCCCTTTCCCTAGAGTGCAGCACAATACCACAAGTTTTCCAGCCAAATGCGGTATGCATTTCAAGTTTCTATACATTTATATAAATTTTAAGAGAGTAAAATATTGACAAAAACTGCATTAAGTTTTCAACTCTTGTTTTGTTTTTCATTAAAAATTTGCTCTACCATTATGTATAATTCATTTTTTTAATGTAAATGTTTTTAAGTATTTGTAGGATAAAGGCAAATTACACTTATTCATTCTTTCTTTGATATAATACATGTAGCTCTTTACCTGAAATCAATGTTTGTCAAATTATTGTGCATAAATTAGAAGTATGCATGTTTCTCTTAAGTCAGTTATGTTTCAGGAACTATCTTTAATGAATTGTATAGAAAATTGTGGACGAGGTGTTAGGTGTACAGGAAACGTGGTATATTATAAACATGTATAGTATCTCATAGTATATAAACTCATAACTTTGATTATGCAGTATGCTTTGTATATTATTTCTGAAAGCATGTATATTTCAATCAAGATTGTTGAGTAAACTTTTCTTGCTTTATGCTATCTCTGAAAGCATGTATATTTCAGTCAAGATTGTTGAGTAAATTGTGCTTATTTTATGCTTTTTTCTTTTTTACATTAGAAAATTCCACACCTTTATCACGAGGAAATCTGCAATGGCATTTAGGAATGACAAGTTTGTATCTATTACATAAAATCTAATGTTTTCTGGATTCTTCTTTTCTTTTTTTCCTCCCAACAGAAAAACTTTAATGGTATAAATCAGCGGTTTTCAACCTTTTGACTGTAGTGTACCATCTAAGCAAAAACTGAAAAACATTAATACCACCACTAATTTTACAATGTCCTCAATATTATTTTTCAATTCCTCAATAGAATATTAAATTAAATATATATATATATATATTGCCATTTGCACACTCTTTGTATTAAATATGTACACATAAAAACTATTAGATTAAAAACTGATGATTACTTAATTATCAAAATTAAATTTAATTAAATTAATTATTCACTTGATTATCAAAATTTCAGTTATAATACTTTAATATTTAATTTCTTTATGTCTGCTCTTATTTCATTTAATGGTAAATTAGGATCCACTTTTTATTTTGGTGAGTATTTATATTTCAAATTTAACATGGAAAAAATCATTTTTCACACAAACAGGTTGTGCGAAAAGACAATACAAATTTGATAGCTTTATTTGAAATGCCTTTAAATTCTTTTTTTTCGGTTCAGCCAAAAGTTAACAAGTGTGTCATTTTCCAAATCTTCAAGTCAATTTCGATCAAAGGAAATTTCTATTAACTATTCTTTTCTTTATGAGATTTTTGAATTTCAATAGTTAAAAATATTTTGTTTCTTTGCATACCACCGGCTGAGAACCGCTGGTATAAATTAATTATAACAGATGTAAATTAATATTTCTCATACAAAAGAGTTATTTCAATTCTTTATTGCGAACATTATATACAGAGTATGTCTTTTATTAACAACAAGATTTTAAGAATTTAAAATAATAATCATTAAATCCTCTTGATCTATAAACAGTCTTAAAAATTATAAAGGGAAAAAAATTGAAAGTTAAAGAAATCACTATATTATGAATTGTTCCTTTTTAGAGAAGTTTCATTGTTTAATTAATTATAAAAAGTGTTTTACATTATGAAATATAAAAATTAAGAATATTTGAATTTGAATGAATATTTTAAAATTTTCCCTCAGATAGAAGCTCAACTATTCGAAGCAGGAGACCGAAGAGAAAAAAGGAAGAGAGATGATATTACAGCTGCAGAAAAGGAAATAATAATTAAAAACGCAGAAGAATATATTAATGTACTGTGTGAAATATGTGACTTGTATAAGCAATCAGTTGCAAATCAGTCTGCTGTCATAGAAAATCAAAATATAATTATTAATTTATTAAAAAAATAAATCATGCATTTCAAATATTACAGTGTTTTCATTCTTGTATGTATTTCTGCAGTGTGGGATTCATATTTTAATTGTAAAATTTACTACTTTCTTAATTTTATAAAATTTTGTGATTATAAAAATTATTTAAAAGAAATTCACAGATCCATTATATGACATAAACATTATAATAATTCTAATACCACTATTATAAGTCTCGTGAAAATATTTATGCATTTTACACAGCAATTATCTTTTTCCTGGAGGAAATGGGAATAAGACCTGTAAGAATCTTTAGTCAATGTATTACAAATTTTAATTTTCAGATATAACACGAAATGAATTAAATTGTTTTTCAATTATGTTAATAAGTTATATGAATGAGATGTGGTATTAAAAATTTCATTTCTTTTTATCATTGAAGAAATAACATTCGATATCCTACAGCTCCATAACAATGGCAGATAAAATTGACATTCTAATTTCGAAGTTCTAAAAATACTTAGAGATGACAACTATTAAAGTATGGCTAATGTCTAGTTTACAATAACAATGTTGAGTCGCGTACTAAAAAAATTAAGTGAATCAAACTGTATTTATTTTCCCCCTTCTCTTTTTGGCTGAAAAACAATTTATTACACTCATGATTTTTTTAAATGTATTTCTTTTAATGGCAAACCCACTGAGGTAAGTATGCAGTAAGTTATTATAGTGAATGCGTAATGATGATATAAATCTAAATTCAGCAAACAATCTTTCCCTTACTTTAATGTTTTAAAATCTAGAATTAAAAGAAAAATGTATGTTCTTCAAAATAATACAAGAGGATATGGAGGCATAAATCATAGGCTGTTTATTCTTTACATATTATGCTAATCAGGAATTGGAGCAAAACCCTGCTTAATCGAAGAATACGCTCACAGGAATGGTGGAGGAAAATTGAACTGTCCAATATTTGTTTTGCCCACCCCAAGAAGCCTGGGTATACATAAACAGTATATAGAGTGAAATAATTGTTTTTAGGAAATACATTTAAATATCTTTGACAGAATATGTCAGTTTTAATTTGTACTATAATAAATAAGCATGAAGTTCTTATGCTATTAAATGTGTATTGTCACATGGAAATTTTCTATCTTGTCCCACGGAAGGGGACGAAAGGGAAACATTTGACTTTTTGGAAGAAACTGAATTTCGGTGCAGTAAATCTTATTGCTAAGTTTAAGATAAATTAAGTGCAATGCTAATTTATAGTGACTTACTATTGTAAATCATGACTGGCATACCAACACTAAAATATATATATATCAAGCCTATTAAGTTATTTCTGGTAGTCAAGAGTTTTTAAACATAAATGATGGAAACAAGAAATTCAGAGGGAAGAACAATAATGATAAAAGTTGTCAGTATGCATTTGAAACCAGGACTAAATAAAATTATTTAGGATTATTATTATCAATTAAAATCATTTAGGGTTGTGCAATTTAGTTACAGGTTCAAATATAAACCATGGCTTGTGGGTCCCCAAGAATATATTATGAAAGTAATTTTTTTCCTAATATATTCTTTATTATCCATGAAGGGGGGGTTCACCTTTGCCAGAGGTTCATTGTTGCCCACTTTGGGTTTTTATTATCGAGTTTCAAAATTTAAGGATAATTCATTGTGCAATGCAATTTCAACATGCACTGACTGAAAACTTTCTGAAGGTACCAACTCATCATCTTCAAACACATCAATCTCAGGATTTTCAACACAATACCTTAAGCATATATTATGTAAAATGGCCACCAGATATGACCATTTTACATATTTTGCTTTGTGAATACAATAGTGTTCCACCAGTATCGTGCAGTACCCTAAATCTTGATTTGATCTCTATAGCTGCACGAACTTTTCTGTGCTTCTCATTATAGAGATATTCCCGTGATAAAATGGGAATATAATCCACTATCTCCCAAAGATATGCACGATGCGACAAAATACTATCTAGATTTTGTTTCAGTCCACTCCATATAAATGCATCATGAGTATTGCCTGGCCATTGTCCTATAGCATAGAGAACCCTCAGACCAGCATTCCATACCTAGAAAAACATAAATCCTAAGTCAAAAGAAAGTTTCATCTGAAATTTTAATACACAGATTTTTAACATTAAATATAGTTGATATATTAATAAATCAGTCTTTTTAAGGAGTTTACTTTCCATTTTTAACAAAAAATATGTCACTGTTTTTTCATTATTAAAAATATGCAATAAAACGTTAAAACAACACACACACACACAAAAAAAAAAAAAAAAAACTTACCCTTTTTTTATTAAATTGTAGTAATTATAGTAAATAGGTGATTCTAAAATTTATTTAATATTTGTATTATTTAATATCTAATACTTCACTATAATTATAGTATAGATAGCTTTTTGTTATTATTATTTGAATAATAATGAAAACATTCTTGCAGTAATTTGAAATGACTATAATATTATACTTATTATCATATATTTCTTACCTTTTCACCATTAATGGAAAATTTATTTTTCCGGTTAATGAAGACAAAACAAAAATTAATATCACCACACTCGCAACATCTGCGGTTTCATTTGTATGTAACCCAAAATAATTCTTGGTAAGCTAGGTAGAATCACATTTGTGATTGCACTCCAGTTCTTTTACAGCTGGTCGAAAGAATTAACATCTACTGTATGTGGAAATAGCGAACAAAACAGTAAGAAATTGGAACAATTACCTGTGGACAACTTGTATTCATAGCATTCTAAAATGAGCTTTTGGTAAAATTTGACCGCAAATAAAACAGTAGTAATGAACGAATGTTTTTTCACGAAGTGGGTCCAATACTTTCACAGCAGGGTTATTTCATGTATTCTGCAGAGAGACTGATGTATGGTTTGTTGTAACTGCTGTATACAAATGTCTGGCTCAGAATTCCACAGCAGTAATTAGCACAACTTTCATGGTTGATGGTATAATATGGAGGTACCAAAAATTAGTACTATTATCACAGTAACTGCAAGATGGCTTATATTCTAAAAACTCAGTTAACACATTTCATGCAGAAAGAAAATATTATCCAGTTTCATACTTAAATCAAGGTCACTGAAATGTGGTAAAAGCAATCTGCTTAAGAAAACAGATGCCTCTGTAGAGGACTTTCTATGGAAAACTGGCTTTCATTACCATATTATACATGGGCAAAACCAATGTCATGTGTAATATAATAATCTATTAGTACAGTAAATACATTTAATTTCTTTGTATTTATTTATGTCATGCTGCTTTTCGTGTAATTTAGTATGATAACCTTATAAGTTTATTTAATTCTGATCATGGTCTACGGAAGTAAGGTAAGTCACCTGTTATCGAGAATATCAAGTTATTAATAGTTATGTGAAAGTCTGCAATAACTTTTCATATCATAAGAGATTTATGAATGTGTATATAACTTACATGTGTAGTTATTATGCAAGATCTATAGAAAGTATCCAAAATTACCATGACATTAATCACACTGTACGAACAGGCAAGACATTATACATTAGGAGAAAATTAACTAATATTTTGGGGGATGAAATACTATTTTACACATGGGAACTGTTTAAACAGCTGAGAAAAAATTCATGGTTTTTCCCCCTACAGTTTACAGAATATATATATATTATTGTTTCATAAGAATAAAAAGTAAAGTTAAATTTAAATAATTCTCATGTGCCATTGCTGCAAAGAATGAAATTTGAATTTTAACAAATATTCTCTATTCATATAAAGTTAATTTAAATTATGAAATTTTAATTGCATACATATCAAAGATTAATTATTGCTGCAAACTAATTTACTATATCACTGAAATTCTGAGAGCATATGTAAATTAAATGCACGTATCTAAAACCATGAAAAAATATATAATATTCCAAAAAACTAATCCCAAATATATACATATATATATATATATATCTCAAAGACAGGCATATGCATAATTTCTGTTAGAAAAACAATTTCTCCGAGATTACGTTTTAGAGTAATTAAAACAATAAATTAATGGTGATATTATTACTGCATTCCAAAATTCGCAGTAATTAACGATTTCGATCATTACTACGAAAAAAAAAACGGGATGAAAAAGAAAGAATCCTGATACAAATAACATTAAAAATTTGTGTGTTTACGTATAAAAATATATAATATTCTCAAATAGGTCATTTAAGCATAGTCTTTGATTCGGAAACATTTCCAGAAGTATTTCAGTTTTCATAATCTGAAGTAAGTAAAAACAAACCTGCTTTTGCAGAGAATATCCATTGGCAGTTGCCTTCAGAAAAGGTTTCAATTCATTGAAGCAAACCGATTTAATCTGAATCAACTGATGAATTCACGCTCCACCATTTCAAAAGCATTACAACTGTCTCTTAAATGCCAAGGGATTCGATCAGCATTTCTCCGATTTCTTAAACGTCTGAGCAAAATCACTTCAGCCATCTTGTTTACAGTCGCTGTTAAGAGTTTGCGGCAGGTCAGGAGTAGCCGCAAAATTCCTCTATGGTAGTGACGTATTTTCAGTAGGCGTGTCCGAAAAGCGTTGCACTTGAATTCGGTTTTGCAATGCAAGTGCGATTACCATGACAAGCGTTGCACTTGAATTCGCCCCATAGAATTTCTATCTGTCAGACATCTAAACTCTACGATTTAAACTCGGCGTGTTACGTAGCTGCAACAAAACTACCGTCAACAGTGTTTAAAATCGTGGTGGTGTATTGTGGTCGTCTGCTTAAGCATTCTAGATTCGGCTTTGTTTTCAGTGGATACAAACGCATATATGGTACGGATAGTGCGCTGTTTTGCGGAGCATTTTGCAAGTTTTTAATTTTTATTATATGTGAAATGTTATATTTTGCACGCAAGGATATTTATTGAACAAGATCGTATGGAAGAACTGGATTATGTGGAGTAAATAACAGTCGGTTTGTATCACTATATACATTTTACCAGTCAAATAAAAAAAACATCATATGACTGATTTTTGACGTTAGTTTCTCCTATGTATACTAAATAACAGATCTTGAATATTAAACTAATGCTTAATAAATATTATTATAAGACTTTTAACTATTCAGAAGTTTGTTATTAATTTTTCATCTGTAGGAAAGACTTTTGTAGGAATCTAATTCTCAGCTTATTAAAATAATAAAAATATAAAGGAAAACAGAATAATATTGAATGGCTGCTTATATTTAATTTTATTGAAATGTGCGATTTCTAATTTTTAGAGAAGGATTTTTAAATGTAAGCACTGGCTACATTAATTCCTCTAATGATTTTACATTTCGCGTACAAATCGGTAAGTTAATTCAAATCATCGTGAACGCCGAATTTGGAAAATTAAATTTGTCAGAAATGTTTTGTTTTGCTTCTTGAATCTGATGTTTTTCCTAAAATTTTCACATTTTGAAATTAAAATAATGACTTCAGATTTTTCTTGATTTGCTTACCAAAGAAGTGCCATGCTTGTAAAAGAATTAAAAGGCATTTTTCTAATATAAAATAGAATTTTGGGGCATGTTTTTGGAAGAGAGAGTGAAATAAATTTCCGAGTTAAATTACCACGACTCTTTAAAACACTCATTTCATGTGCCTTTTTATGAATTTTTCATTATTTAATATAAGAGGTTCTGTATACATTATATTAATTTTTAAACACTTCTGAAAAGATTTTTAATATGAATATTTAATATATAATTATTATCACTACTACATATTAATATTTAAATTTGAAACTGAAATATGGAAACTTTCATAATCCTGTTTCTCATCATTTATTTTATTTATTTAATTATTTATTCTGCTTGTTTCTTCAAATAGTATGATTATCACAAAAGAATTTTATTTTTGTTTTTTATTATTTTAAATTTCATTTTTAGTTACTTTTATCTTCACAAAACACATTTATTTTTTGTATTTAAGTAAATTTTCATATTGTTTAAATAATTTAAGAGATATTCTATTTTTTTTTTTTTTTTTTATTATTATTTGAAGGGATGTTAGCACTTTTATGTAACAGTATTAAGTTTCTTAAAGCTATTGAAACTACATCTTGCCTTTTAAGTGCTTTAACATGGAGCACCTTTCCAAACGGATGAAACTATTTTACTGGCACTTACTTAGAACATAATTTATAAACATGCTTCTGAAATATTCTGCCAGATACTATTATGAGGTAGAATTTTTATTTGACGGTTGCAAATGATATGAATTTCTGTACCTTTACAAACGAATTATGAAAATCTATACTGCGCATCAAGTGATAAAATACTTTTTCTCTAATATTATTTTTTGTGCAGTTTGCAAAACTAAATTATGCAGCTAGAATTTTAGTAAAATTTAATTTTAGCTGCAATATATGGATTCTGTTCCCTTTCAGTATTGGCTAAATCATTTTGAAAATTCTTTGAAAAGTATGTGCTATAGTCTGTTTCTTAATTTAAGCATTTCAAGTGCTTTGCTAGCCCTTCCAATTTACGATTGTTAATGCATGTCTTTATTATTGAACAGCACTTACTTTCTCCACCTCATTTGAGATGGTAATTCAAGTTAACCTTCATTTGTACAATTTTATAAAATAAAGCATGCTGAATGGAAATGAAAAAAAAAAAAAAAAATATGCAACACAAACCATGTGCTTCAACTGTCATTTCTATTATTAGTAGGCAAGCCAGATAGGGGAATATGATTCTTGTGTAACTTCTTAAGCTATTTTATCGACCACCACAAAGTTCTGAGAAAAAGAATGGCCACTTCGAATGTTCCCACATACAGAGTATTTCTTAACGAATTCTCGAAAAGATGAAGTGACCAGCAATAACAAAACAATTTCAAGTTTTTGTTCCTAATATAGTTGTTTGAAGGGAAACATTGTTCCGTTCCCTTTCATCAGTTTATAGGATTCAGTGTCTCAGACCACTCGGTTTGAGTCCCCAGTTGGAATCGAAAAGTTCTCGCTGACTTTTCCCCAGGCTGTCTTCATTATATCCAGTTGTTAATCAAAGTTCTCTTGCCAATCAAGAAGCACTTCTAAAAGTTATGGACAAATGAGGATCCTGGGATTCATTTCAACACGGCCAGTACAACTTGAACAAAATCATGGAACACAGTTCCAGAGGGAAGAGCGAGTGAGAGTTAGTTGCAGTAAGTAGAGAGACAAACCTTCTCTCGCTTTTTCCACCGCGGCCATGAGCATATTTTTGCTTCGCTCTGTGTAGAGCGATATTAATATCTCTGCGAAAAGATTTACAGCGAGGTAGCCGGGTTCGCCGCTACCTCACGAAGAGCATCCTGCTCGGACACAGCTCAGTCCGGCAACCACAGGCTTAGAGAGCTGATTAATTCTAAATAGTCTTATCTTGAACCAGCCACCAGCTTGAACTATTTCCAAACGAGAACTTTCATCTTGGCTGAGTTTTAAACAGGGACTTTATTCACACTGTCTGGAACTGGTTATATTTCTTTTCTCCTCACCTTGCTGTGAGAACAATACTGTATAAGTTTATTTATTTTTATTTTTTTTTGCATATAGTTTAGAAAGAACCCAAATAAATTTATTTACGCTACCTCTTGCCTTTTGAATTCGTCACACTATTGAAAAACAATAAGCTATAAAAATGGAAAGAGAGTTTTATATAACAGAGATAGCTAATTTTTGTACATACAGAATTTAGTTTATGCATCCTGGTACAGTAGATGCAAGTTAAATCTAGATAGTAGATATATATATATGTAGTTTAAGTTTTCTTTTTTCAATGGCAGGCACTTGCCTATAACATCATTGGCCACTACTTAGGCCAGAAATGGTGGCCATTTTATTATGGAGGCACCTAATAGGTGCCCACCCTTACCTCCTATGAAGGGGCAGACAATTTTACATCCAATGCCTTCTCCAGGATCACCTGCGTTCACATTTGTATGGTCTTATAACTATAAATGTATGTCTCCTGCAAAAATCACCTGATCATTTTTTGCCATGTTCAGAGTGTCTCATAATTGTTCTGCATCTTTAACTGATTGAAAAGATACCATCGTTCTAGCCAAATGATGCCTTTCTGCAATAAAATCTCATATTCATTGGATCATCAGAGAAAAAGTATGAAAATATTCTACATATCTAGAAAATCAATAATATTAATAATTGACAAATTTTATCTATTAGGCCACGGTCTGTGTACTTCCAGTTTGCCATCTATATTACAGATAATTACCATCTATGCATAATTATCATCGATATATGCAAAATTACAAATTATAGTATACAGTTTAGAAAAATTCTGCAGCAAAAAGTATATAATATATCAAATCACAGACATATTTTATTAATGGTAATAATGATATAAATATTACTACTTTTCTAAAATGTTATCAATAAGCATACATTGTTTTAGGTGATTCTTTCTTCTATACTGATAAGCATTATATTTGTTAGACAAAAAGTAAATCCGATATTCAACAATGACTAATTTTTCATTGGTTTTCCATACTAATCTTTCATTTTCCATAAAGGAAGAATCATACATAAGACGGTGGAAGAGGTTTGTTTGTAGCTTTGCATAGCACTTTCTTCAAAGTGAAAAAATTAGCTCTGAAGAAATACTTCAGGAATACTGAATTTTTGAAACTGATAAATTTTTTCAGATATTATTAGTATATGGAAATGTGCAAGAAATAATTTTATTTTTAATGTAGTAAATTAAAACATTGTTTATTTAACATTTAGTGGTGTATTTTAGTTCATGAAATTGTTCACATGATATCTGAATGATTTAGCAGCAAAATATATATAGGCATTAATTCAAAATTTAAAATATGGAGAAAGTAAGATGAAATCTCTATTCAGCAGATCATTACAGAGCTTGTACAAGCAAAAAGAGATTTTTTTCCGTAAAGAAACAAATAGTCACAAATAGTAGATGTATCCTGTGTATTTTCTTTTACAGAAAAATTAAACCTTATACTTATCATTCCAAAGTGGAATATCAAAGTCCTGTTTGTTGGTCGTGTTATTTTGTATGAGAAGTTTTTTTTTAATTATTCATTTATTTTATGGCATCTGTCAAACTAAAAAAAATTACTTATATTGGCATGATAAATTTGATTTCCCTTTCTCTTGCAATTTTATGCCGTCCTCTTTATTCAGTGCATATTCTGCTTTAGTGTACTTAGTCTTGATTTAAAAAAAAATAAGTTTTCTTGATAAGTTCAATTTCTGTAATCAGGGCATGCAACTAAGTTTGAGTACTTTAATAAAAAATTACTTCAGTAGCCTTTTTTATGATGGTCTTGAATACAGATCTTATGTATTCATTTATACTTAATTTGAAATTCTGATAATAATTTAAAAGTTATTGGTGCAATATGTATCCTTGAATAAGATTCAGAGCAGTATGTATCTCTGAACATTTGAATTACTATTGTACATATTTTTGCTTTCAAATGCCATGACCAGAATGGAATATCATTAATTTCATCCTTTCTATGGTGATATAAATAATATTTCAGGCCATATTCAAAGATTCAAACCAAAATGTAACTATACTTTTATTTCCTCATTCAAAAATAAGCATTTAATACCTCCAAATGTACTCATGAGGAATGAAAATCCTGTTAAAGTTAATAATTATACAGTTGTAGATTTATGAAATGGGAGGACCCTATTTCTAAGGCGCAGGTTTGTTTATCTTTCATTGCAAATTAAGCATAGATTTGGGGGCTCTTGAAATGCCAGGTCCATCGCGATTGTAACTTGTGCCGTCACATAAATTCTTCTCTGGAATTCTCCTGGCCTTTTCTGCTGCTTAGAAAAATTACTTATTCTCATAAAAGGAAAAGCCTCTTTTCTGAATTAATTGGCAGAAGCTTTTGTCTAGTGGATTAGGATCATTAATCTGGAATAAGATGGCTAAACATTTTTCGATAC